AAATCCAAAAAGTAAAAGGGTCCAGACCACTGACAAGTGGTCATTCAGAAATAGGTGGCATTGGCGAGCTGCATCTCCGACTTCTTGCAAACAAACAAAATTCAGCAAGCAGGTGGGAGGTGCTAGAAATTTAAACACCAGTGTCTCTAAGCAAAAAAAAGGCAGATAGCAATTCAGTTTACCAACATCAACTTAAAATTTATAGTTGGTCCTATAAAACCATCCATAGAGACAGAGGTGAAAGCAGTTGAAACATAATAAAGTACCATTCCTAATCACAGGCTGAAGAAAATTCTGACACAAATATTCAGACACTATTACAATGGAAGATTAAGGATTGTTTTTTTTAAGGTAGATTCCATTTTCTAGTTACTATGGGTTACTTGATGGATTTGTAGGACACTGCACAGCTCTAAAAGGCAATAGCTGTTGAATTCTCTTCTTGCAAACGCCATCAAGTAATTTCTTGCCTGCAGCTAAAGCATGTGACCTGTTAAGTAAAGGAGGCAGCAAGCAGCTTGGTAGAGACATTTGCCTTCACATCCTTGACCTGACCCTGAGATTGCATTTGCATTTTTCTTCCTATACGACACTCTGCACTGCATCCCAACTGTGAGAGTTTAATGCTTCTCAGGAGCTAAGCTTCCCAGTTCCCATACCAATCTGATCAACAATGTCACACAGTAGAGCACCGTCTAAAATCAACATTTCACTCTTACACTTGTGCAGCTGCAAATATTTTCAGAGAATAAATGGAGAAAAGGGCTGATCTAATAAAACTGAAAATATAGTAAGTAGTTGCAACTATAAAGTCAGAAGGTGGGCTTCTCACTGTGGATAACATCAAGGTTCCTCTCTTCTAGTTTTATATATAAGCAACAATATATTGTGGTCACATAATACTCTCCACTGCAAACCTTCCAAATAGGAATCATAATATTTACACGATTAGCTTTGATGCCAGATTGTAAGCTCTCAGGAGCAGGGCCCTCCGATTCTTCCTGTATTGAACTGTACTGGCTCCTTAATTTTGTAAAGTGCTGCACAACTGCTGTTGGTGACTTGTATAATATTAATATTTCCAGTTAGAGATGGGTTAGAACACCTGTCAGTTTTCACTGCTGCGTCCCAGTTAGGGAGATTCATCCTCTATTAGTTCTGTTTCCATTATCATTGAAAGTGAAAGTAAAAGAAAATCCCAAACTTTGGCTTGTCCCCAGAAATGTAATAGTGGGGAAACCTTCCAATGGGGACACTAGTTCTGGTGACCTGGGGGTCCCCAAGGAATTACCTTAATTTGCAGGGATTTCTTCTCACTTCCTGTTTGGCTATGGGACAGGAAGTGAAGGGAAATCTCTGCAATGGGACACTGATGGCAAAACAAAATCTGACAGGGGTTACAACCCTCCCTTGCACTATCCAAAATGGGGAAAAAAAAAAAAAAAAAAAAAAAAAGGTTTTGCCTATAGTTCTACTTTAAACATTCAATGTACTGTGCAGCACTGCACCCCGACCAAATACATATGTATTGGGCTATTGAGATCAGTATAAGACCCCAATGCTGTTATTAAGGTGGTGCTTGGAGGAGGGTGCAACTGCCTCACAATCATCTACTGCAGCTGCCCATCAGCATTTGATTGGCATTATAACTGATTGGAAAAAGGTAGCAAGGATGATTTGACTGTCATTGCCAGCATTGGATACCTGGTTAGGAAAGATTGCATTAGGCAATTAAAAAAAAGACACAATTAAAATTGTGCCTTGCATGCTCAGAGGACCATGTGAACAATTTCTCAATGTTCCCACCATCATTGTCCGACAGATAGCTAGAGAACATGGTCCAATCTGTAGAGTGGTCCAAACTGTAGAGTACAAGCAGCCTTTACCCTCCATGCAAATGCTGGCTGTCATTCTCCAGTCCTTCCAACACCACATTTCTCAGTGCTGGGAATGTTGCATGCACAATTTTTTTGGATTGGGCAGCCCTAATGAATAGGCTGCTATAATGCAATGCACGATAATACACCAAAGCGCATCGGATTGGTGTGAAAGGACCCTTACATTCACATTTACATATCAGATTTGGACATGGATCCTACACTTCTTTCCACTCCTTATCCCTCTAAATTACAAGCTCTTACTGGCAGGACTCTAACCGCTATTGCGCTACTACTGGTGTGACAGATTTGGGCAGCCGCTAGCTGAAGTGTAATGTCATCTTCAATTGCCTATTGCATGTACTTCAAGCTGACAAAACATGGCTAAATCGTTATTTAAGGCCATATTTACTGTAATTTATTTTCACATGCTAAAAATCTATTATTTTTGGAATAATTTGTTAATAAATAAATACATTAAAAAAAAAAACCAAAAAACCCCCAAAAAACATAGAAGGGTATTTTGTCTTTTATATAAATAAAACCTTTCCTGTATTAAAGTTGTATTTGGGGTACATATGTGTAATGGTACCGTTACTTTAGCAGAACCTAAGATCATTGTCGGATTCTATTTCCTAATTAGGTAAGTGAAACCTTTGCTCTTGGTTATCAGCAGTTTCCGAATGCAAACTGCTGGCTCCTACTACATGTTGTCAGACAAGATGTTTGGTTTGTGTAAAGGAGAAAAAAAATAGCATAATACAGTTCAGAAAGCTTTGTTCAAAAGTACCTTTGTAGGTTTTTGCATTTATTTGCAAACATTTTTTGCAGTAAAGGGTAAGATTTGTAGTTTTAACACCAGAAGCATAGAACTGGGCACAGAACAGTGGAGGAACAAAAATAACAAAAAACAAACACCTTACCTCAGACTGTCCTTCCTGGGCACTACTTTCATGTGTAACACGAATACTCTGGTTAAGGAGAACAGAAAAAAAACCCTTTATATTAATAATTTCAAACAGTCTTCCAACACATACCACAATAGGGCCAGGCCACAGAAGACACACAAAACTCGATATGTACTGGAAATGGAAAGGGAGAATGCCAAGACAAAAAAAGGTGTAATTTCCAGAAGACAACTACGTATTTGATTTCAAGTCGGCATCAAACAGATACATAGAAATTTCCATTGATTTATTACGAGTATAATTTTATGGCAATTTGGGAGGTCGCAACATAGCAATTAACATAGTTCCCTCATAGATCAGAAAACTTCAGGCTAAACGTAAGAAAGAAAAAAGAAATATTGTATGGGCAAAGTTTAACAAAGACTTTATGAAAGCCTATGAAAAGATTTTTTTTAAACAGCAGAACCATACAGGGTCTTTCCAGTCAGGCTTGCTTTGGCTTCCACAAAGCAGTTTACAGAAACCAAATTGTTACAGACCCAACCAAACCACTTAGTGGCTTTTGGGGGGGACTGCAGGCTAGCCGCTTACCTACTTACCATGGGCCCTGGCATCTGAGGGGGCTCTATTCTTTGGGAGGTATGTGCCTGGGGGAACGTTTTTAGTAGCTTTACTTGGGATTCAAGTCCATGTCTCCTCAAAACACACAGACTCTGAGAATTGGAGGGCTCGGATACGGATTTGGGGTCTCTGTGCCCAAACCAGCATTGACGGCTTCAACCCCCCTCCTAGACACAGACTCAGAACAGATGTTAATATAATCAGCTCAAAACAACCTGATGCTGAGGTTCTCTGCTGTAAGCTGTTTATTAAGGTGTTACACGTTTACTGTTGTGTCTTTCTCCCATTGTTAATTTAGTTCATTAAATCACCTATTGTTTCTGTCTGTTGGCTAGTACTCCTGGAGGTTTCTACATGATGGGATTTGTTTTTATTGTTCATGTGGGGACTGCCCCTATTTCTAAAGTGTATAAAAACCTGTATTTCTGTTCAATAAAGGAGTTTGTGCTTGCACCTAAGGTAGTGTCGTCTAGTTCTTGAATGCAATACCCAGATATAATACTTTGTTCCTGTGCTCCAGCAGTGAGGAAGCAGCTCTGACGGAAGCACTCAGGTGGGGTGCTAGGTGGTCCATCACACCAATGTCTTTGAACCAAGTAACAACAGGTTGAAATCAATGTGTTCTGCATCTGAACATTTGGTCTATCTAGAAAGCAGATTATTCTGACAAAAACATATCTCAGAATCATTTTGCTGTCACTGGGTGACCGATTTAAAATGAGAGAAAAGCTAAAAACAGGATTATTCTCATTTCTAATGGCATTACCACCTTAAAAATGCCTCTACCCAACCATCGGGGGACAGAAGTTAGAGGTTAAATGCTGCAAATGTCTCTCCACTTCCCCCTGCCCACCCAAACTTCAGTTAATTCCAACGTAATAGGTGCAATTTAAGATCTTATACACCTCTAAAAATAGGTAAGGGGAATGGGGGGGGGGGTCTGTTGGAAGGAGTTTTGTGTTTTTACATGATCTACAAACACAGAATAAGACATTACAGACTACTACCCAGGAAGCGGCAACTGCTTGAAGAACCTTCCATTTGAAAAGTACATCTTTCCAGGACTGTACATGTGATAGCAATAGTACTCTGAAGGTAAGATGCTAAACCAAACTGGGGAGGGGGGTGTTTACTCAATTCTTCCCACTTCTGCTCTGACCACCTAGGCTAGCTGTGATTCATAGGCCTAGAATGCTGCACACACTGAAAACATAAAACCACTGTACAAGCAGTATCTAAAATGTACAGAAGAAAACATATCAATTTGCAAGATCTAAAAGTAATGAGGTTATTTGCTTCCTGGAAATGTGCTCAACTGTCACTGGGATCCACTGAATCTGATCATTGCCAAAAGTAGAAAGTTGTGCAAGATGGCAGACACTAACTGCTGAACACTAACCACTAGAAACCGTCTTGTGACTTTGCTACAATGCATTTTGAGATAGTAACCTTTGTCAGACACAGCATACTTATACATCAGATAAAGTTACTCACTGTTAGCAAAGCCACAAGTGGTATGAACAGTTACCAGAGACAGCTGAGCAGTGCTCCAAGGGGCACATTATCATTTGTGAATGTTATATATATTTTTTTTTTAATTGAAACAAAGTTTGCTTACTTCATCTCTTTCTAGAAACTTGGCTCTTTCATCAGGGCTCAATGAAAGGGATTCATCTATAAACTTTTTCAAAGCAGAGTCAATTTCTACAGAAAAAAAAATAAAAACAATGAGAATCAGATTTGACAACTATGATTAGATCACTATAAGGATCACTGATAACTCAGCCCTCACAGTATTTTTTGGTGCTGGTAAAATATTTGCACACAAAAAAAAAAAAAAACCCACAAAAGTGAAAATAAGTGAGGTGGAGTGTGACTGTAAATCCTAATTACACTAATCAAAATGCCCCTTGATTTAACAGCATTATTTTCCTTGGGCGTAATCTAGCACTCAGACTGAACAGACCCTGAAATCTGGGGATATCACAAAGCAGAATACAGTTTATTAAAGTGAAAATAAGTGGTTTGGGGGCTAAGGGTAAGCATAGCTAATATACCATTATTATAAAAGACAGCAATAATGAGGGCAACAAGTTTTAGTCAATGTAGAGTGAGTTTCTGAAGTATAACACGGCAAAACTGTAGTATAAAATATTAGGAAAAATTGAAGTCCCAAATCTTTTTGCTGAATAATCCACTGGAGAGGATCAAAGTGAGCCTATGGCGATAAAAATACGAGATCTGCTACTGCTGGTTTAAAAAGAAAAAATCTCTCTCTCTATCACTTTAAAGTTCTTTGTTAAAATAGACACTTTGGGAGTTATTTACTAAAACCTAAGAGGGCAAAATCTGGTGCAACTCTGCACAGAAACCAATCCCCTTCCAGGTTTTATTGCCAAACCTTAATTGAACAAGCTGAATTTAGAAGCTGACTGGCTATCCTGCACAGCTGCACCAGATTCTGAGCGCACCAGTTTTAGTAAATCCACCCCTATTAGTCATATGAAATTTTGTTAGCCAGAATAAATCCCATGGCCAATGCAAAAGCACTCCTTAAATCAGGGAGGGGTGGGGTTGAAGGTTGGGCAGGGCAAGATAAAAAATGTATTAAAACATATTCTGAGCAAATATACTTACAAAAAAAAAAAAAGAAGAAAGAAAAAAAAAACAAAAAACATGCCATGCCCTCTGCCAGTCTAACCTGCTTATATTCTAGTTACTAATTTTATAAAACTAGACCACCTCTAGGTTTTATTTCTGTATCATAGGAGAAACATGGATGGGGTTCGGACCTCCCACAGACCCCTTTTAACACCAGCGCCTCCCAGCGCTTTAAAGGGATTTATGATGCCAGGAGGCAGGGCAGTGTTTAAGGTCAAGTGACTGCCATGACTGGCTGTCACAGCAGTCACATGATCGGGTAGCGATTGGGAACTTTCTGTTAGGCACCGGGAATTGTGCTGGAAGTGCGCAGGGTGTGCACTCTCAGCACAGGTTTGTTTATATTTTGGTATGCATATATGTGGCCTCTCAACCTCAAGGCCCACCTGCTGAGAGGCCACATATATGCAGAGTCAGTGCGAATAGGTTAAGCAAAGTCAAAAGAATTCACTAAGACTGGAGAAAACAGAATCTGGAGCATGGCAACCAGTTTTTACCTTTCAATTTCAAAGCTTAAAAGTGACACAAAGGTTTTTTTTTTCCTTTTTTAAATAACAAACATGTTATAATTGCCTGCTCTGTGTAGTTGTTTTGCACAGAGCGGCCCGGATCCGCCTCGACTTGTGTCCCCAGCCAGCGCTCCTGGCTCCTGCCTAGTGCTGCCACTGCAAGTAGCTTGCTATGGAAGCACCTGAGCAGACGTGCTCCGGAACCGCTGCTCCATTTGCCCATCGTACTCTGTCTCCTCATTGGCTCACTGGCTGTGATTGCCTCACTGCTGTCTCAGCCAATGAGGAGGCAGAGACCCGGGACAGCCGAGGTTCTTGTGCACATCGCTAGATCAAGATGGGGCTCAGGTAACTACTAGGGTGGCTGCTGCACACAGACCGTTTTTACCTTCATGCATAGAATGAATGAAGGTAAAAAACCTCAAGCCTTTTCAACTGCTTTACCTGAAGAAGCCGATGTTCTAAGCAGATTGGTTACTATGCACGTATGCTCCAGATTCTGTGTTTACATTTTAGTAAATTCTGCAGCAGCGTTTCTCACTATCTGACAAACTGTCATGACCCACATGCAAATTTAACATTTTTTAAATAAAAATATTACTTTACTTCACAGAGTTTTTATAGCGGAAAGAAAGTTGCCATTGTGTACATGGCACAAACAAAACAGCCATTAATGCTGCAAAGAGCACATGTCAGCTGGCACTGTAGCACCACCTGGTGGTTAGAGTATGGTTGTGTTACGGAAAATGTTCCTAGTTACCAAAAGCAAGCTTTTCTCTGTTGTTTGCCACTGAATGAATAAGACCGATTGTTCCACAGGCATTGCTTATTGTTTGCTTCATGAAGTATACAGAGGAATCCACATCTTGACCGTGGGATTTTAATTTTTTCTTCCTCCTCTGCTTTAAAGGATTCATACTGGGGACAAGGAAAAAATATAACTTTACAAATCATTTTAAAATGACATTTTATTACTGTCATAATGACAACAATATCCATCATTCCTTCACAGGGTAAGCCAGAAAACCCACCTCAGACATACAAATTCTCACCATCACAAATAAAGAATTTCCAATTCAGCAGACCAATAACACTACCTACAAGCATGAATATGAACGAATCCAGCCTCTGTGGCATGGAAGCAGCTAAACAACACACAGTTGTCAGCGCCTTTGTTTTAGGTTTCTAGCTCAGGTTACAGAGAGAGTCCGTTTAGATGAAATGGGCAATAACAGTTTAAACACACTCCATCATAAGTAATGGCTAAATTACACATTCTCTTTAGGAATCTGAAAAGATTATACACAGTCACAAGACACGATCTTTAAAAAGCAAGGACTTTATTGGAAATCCAACATTCTCCTTCCCAAACAAATGCGGAGCTCACACTGTCTGGCCTCCTTAGGGATGGTGTAGTATTTATGTCTTTGATTGACGACTGGAATCCTCAAAATGTTGAGGACATAATGAATAATTCTCATCGTCAAAGCATGTGCCAGATTAGAGTTGAAAACTGACATTTTGTATGGCTGGTCCCCATTCATTCACAACAATTTCATTAGCCACCAGAGTACAAAAAAAAAAATAAAATGAATTTTTAGTTTACCTGTAAAATCTTTTTCATTAAACTGTTATTAAACCCAGGACCCTGCATTCACTATATCTGGTCTCTTACAGTACACAGAACATGGAAATGCAATTATTTTCGTAAATATAAACTGCTAAATACCTTTTCCAATTAGCAGTTACAGCAGTCTTGTGACTTCAGCAGAGCACTGGTTACAGCTTGTAGGAGTTTTATTTCTGCTCTAGGAGGATGCAAACCCCTGACCTCTGCCTGGATAGTGCTGATTAGCCCTGTGCTGATCACATGCACTCATATCATCCAGGAACAAAAAAAAAAAAAAAAAAACCACCACACCTCTCTCTCTAGCAACACACCAAAATGAGCATTTGCAGAGTGACTCCACATGATATGTCTTATAAGGAGATGAGAGGGACACTGGAAGATGGGAGAATCAGGATCAAACTGCCTTTTTACACAATCAGGGTGGATAAAAATCAATGATTTTAAAAAAAAAAAAAAAAAAAATCTAAAATCGGATTTTATTTAAATCTGATTTTTTTGATTTAAAATCGGATTTTTTTGATTTAAAATCAGATTTTTTTTGATTTAAAATCAGATTTTTTTGATTTAAAATCGGATTTTTTTTTAATAAAATGCTTTTTGAGGAAAATATTACCATCCAAAGGTTATTCCATCATGAAATAAAGATTAGTTTTTTTAATTATGTAGAATAAGGCTGTATATGTTTAATTTTTTTGGTAAAAATAAGTTCCATTAATCCATTCACAATGTCAGGCTCTTCCAGAGGTTTTTGTAAGATTATTGGGCAGTTTCTCTGCCTACAAGATATTATCACAGATGCTTGGTTTACTTTGCAGTTATCAAAACTGAATTTGACTCAGCGGAGATCACATGCCTCTTCTTCACAGCAAAAATGTTATAACATGAACAGAGTTAAGAAAATACCTTAATCCTAATTTCTACAAACCCTTACAGGCTGCAAACCGCTAAAGCTGATCCCGTGCATCACTATGGGTTGCAAGATCAGTTAACCCCGTATAGGTTCAACCTATATGGGGTTAACTGATCTTGCAACCCATAGTGATACGTGGGATCAGCTTCAGCAGTTTGCAGCCTGTAAGGGGTTAACTGTGGCAGCTCTATACTAAAGTCAGAGATCGGCTTCTTTGGCCTGAAACCGGCACATGCGCAGTTGCTTCAGGGGATACATATCTTCATGGATCGGGATACTCAATTTACCTCTACACTGGCACCGCTCCTTCCTCTCTGGAGGGGTGACACCATGTGTTGCTGCACCGGGTGACATCAACCCTAGGGACCACTCTAGTAACACAGCTTCAAAGTGTACATCTGAGGCAGTGTTAGACCTTGCACATGCACGAACAGTGAAAATGTTTTAAGCAGGTGAAGAAAGTGTTGTAAAGTAAGAATGCTCTCAAAAATATTCACAGTATTTCAATTATTTTATCAACTTACAAAATGCAAAGTGAGCAGACAGAAAAAAATCTAAATAAAATCAATTTGTGATGTGACTATCCTTTGGCTTCAAACCAGCATCAATTCTTACACTTGTCAGGGATTTTGTAAGATTAAAGTCAAGTGTATGGTTATCCACTTATCACAAGCAGGTGCTAATGATCATCAATTTCATATGTAGGTTGAAACAGAAACAGCTGTGCAGGAAGCTTAAAACTGGGTGAGGAACAACCAAACTCTGCTACTAGCGTGAGATTGTACAAGACACTTATGTTACAGCTCATATACCATGGGAATACAGAGCACAGACACAAGACACAAGGTAATTATACTACATCAACACGGTCTTTCGCAGGCAAAGATTTGAGAGCAGACTGGGGTTTCAAGATGTGCTGTTTTGGAGGAGAAACAGAAACTTTTAAAGACGCACAAAGTAACGGGCAATGTTGAGGACCATAAACACTGTGGTCGGTCAAGGAAACGTAAAAGGAAAAAAGTATAGCCAAAGCTATTTTGGCTGTTATTCTCCTGTAGGTCACAGAAGTGCAGTGCATTCTGCACTCCTGTGACCCATTTTCTGCAGGCCGACAGCGGCCTAAAGTCTGCTGTTGGCTGATGTAACTCAGCTGATCCAGACTCTGAAGAGAAGAGCGGACCAGCCTCTCAGCGATACCCCGAGAAATTAGGCCAGCCCCTCCACATCTCAGTGCTTCAGCGAGCGCTGGCAAAACAGAGAGCCAGAGACTCAGTCCCAGGTCTCAGCTCAGAGCAGTGAGGGCGAACTGAGCGATCGGCTGTGTTTGATCGCTCAGTACAGAGCTGGTGTGGGGACAGATGCAGCATTGAATCGATAATGCACCCACTTAGGTAAGCATAAATGTGTTGTTTTTTTTAAATTCATTCTTCTCTTTTAATGCACCAGATGAAAGACACATCATGCTTATACCCCATTGATGTCAGAAGTGGGACACAGGAACACCTATCTACTGTCTAGAGAAGGCTGTCCAGAAATGGTCTCCATGGAAAAATTGCAACCCCCACAAAAAAAACAAAAAGACATACCTCTGATGTGGAAACAAGGTGAAGGGACTCATCTATGCATGAAAACATAGGAACTGGGCTGCAGAAACAAAAAAAAAAAAAAAAAAAAAAAAAAAAGCTGCAGGTGCTCTGGACTGAGGATTTAAATTTTGAAATATATGGCTGTAGTAGGAGGCAGTTTGTTCGCCAAAGAACTGGAAAGCTGTACAATGCGTGTCTGCAGGTGATAGTAAAGCATGGTGGAGGTTGTGTTGTGAAAGCGCGCGTGTGTACACACACACACACACACACACACACACACACACACACACACGGAGACTTTCCTGCTTTCTGTCGAGCACATTGGCACACACAGGGCCAACAAGCAGACCCTTTCTCCAAGCAATTAATCAGAGTCATAAAACATGACACAAAAAGCTTTATCCCTTTTCAGCTTCTGATGTGCTCTGAAGGGAGAGAGAATACAACAGAAACACTAGGATAATTGCAACCTTTCTATAAACACACAGTGATTTCTTTAAGTCCTCATGTACACTGGACATTTTTTACCGCTGCTGTGTTCGGCTTTTTAAGTTTTTTTTTCTACAGCTAGTAAACCCCCCAGCATGTTATCCTATGTTATTTCTGTCAGCACACAGACTGTAATCAATGTTTGACAGGGACGTTTTTTGGCTGGATTAAAAAACCCAGGACTAGCTGGTTTCTAGAGGATTTCTTCAGCTGTAAAAGTGCTCGAACACTAAAAAATGTAGCAAATCTCCGCAAATGGGTGTTTTTGGATTTTTTTTTTTTTTTTAAATTTGTACATAATTGCATTGGTATGTTTGTATCCCCTGGAGTAAAGCTATCTTCAAAGCCAAAACAGAGCTTTAAGGCTCATGCACACTGGGTGTTTTGATAACGCTGGTAACATTAGCTGTGTAAAGTCACATTAAAAACATGAGTTTTTTTAGCGTTTAGCAGCATTTTTCCTGCATTTGCATTTTTTTGTTTTTTTTTTTTTTGTGGAAAATGCAAATGCAGGAAAAATGCTGCTAAACGCTAAAAAAACTCATGTTTTTAATGTGACTTTACACAGCTAATGTTACCAGCGTTATCAAAACACCCAGTGTGCATGAAGCCTTAAAGCTCTGTTTTGGCTTTGAAGATAGCTTTACTCCAGGGGATACAAACATAACAATGCAATTATGTACAAATTAAAAAAAAAAAAAAATAAATAATATATATAATAATAATTCAAGCTTAAACCATACGGTCAGCACACAGTAGGAACCCCTCAGCACCTGAACAAATGTTTAAATTTAAGCTACGCAACACACTTCCTAGGCTGAGGAGTAATGCAGGCCATAGATGGGTCGAAAATCAGCAGATATTTCTTTGACAGTTCCTTGACATTTATAGCGGTTGCAACAATGTATCTCTTTGTATCCATTTCAGATACAGATGGTTTTATTTGGAAACAAATAGATACATTGTTGCAACCGCTATAAATGTCAAGGAACTGTCAAAGAAATAGCGGAGCTCTCTGCAGGGACACTTTTTGCCGGATTGGAATTCCTCTTCATCTTCATCCTCTTCATCATCTTCTTCCTCTTGTTCTTTTTGTCTTCCTCTTGCAGGTCACTGCTCATGCGCAGATTTTATCGGTAAAAGATCGGCAGATTTGCCCATCATTGCCGCGAAAATCGGCCGATCGGCAAAATCGGCCGTTTTTTTTTCCAACTTTACCGATTAAAAAAAATCTGCCAAAATACCGAAAAACGTACGAACATTTAGCCCACTAACGATCCGAAA